CAATCAGCACTAAAGACTTCCCCCATTTGCTGCTCTACCTCCAAAGAAACTCAGTGTAAATGTTTCCAAGGACCTTCTCATGTTAGGGTCAGGGTGAGAGTGAGGGCCTGCTTGACCCCCAAAAGCTCCTCCTCTCAGTGCACCCCCAATTTGCCCTCCATGTTTCCCATCACAATAAATGGCTGCACCATCCATCTGGTCTCCCAAACCAGCCCATGAGCTCCCAGATGAGCTCCCAGATGGCCAGGATAGGGTCATGTTCGTCTCCAAATGCCCAGGCTTTCATAGGCTCGGGCCCGAGTAGATGCTGGGTGGGTGTTTGTTGAGTGAATATAATGTCTGCTTCCTGTTCGAACATTCCTGTGATGGAGAACTCACTTATATTAGGATGAACTGAACTGCTTTTTTTTCTTAAAGGTTTGATTGCTAAGAGGAAAAAAAAAAAAATCCTGTCTTGGGCTTAGTTGAAGTCCACTCTAGCTGACTTCCCTGCAGGAGTCCTGGCTTTCTTCTGGAACAGCCCAGATTGGCGAGTGTGTGATGGAGGACTGGCAGCATCAAGGGCACTTGAGAACTTGTTATAAATGCAAATTCTCAGACACTACCCCAGATCTACTGAATCAGAAACTCCAAAGCTGTGTTTTAACAAACCCTCTGGGTGACTTTGATGCTGAATAAAATCTGAGAACTGCTGCTCCAGACACCAGCTCCCAATGGCTGGTCCAGAGAGAGTCTGTATCAGAATCACTCGGGAAACATGAACGATGCCCCAGAGATTCGGGTTCAGTAGGTCTGGGGTGGGTCCCAGGTAGGCTTGACCTATAAAATACAAGACACTCAGTTAAATTTGAGTTTCAGATAAACAATGATTTTTTTTTTTTGTATAAGTATGCCCCAACTATGAAATTCATGAAATTCAAATTTAATTTAACTGTGTATCTTAGTATTTTTTTCTTAAGACTTTTATTTATTTATTTATTTGAGAGAGAGAGAAAGAGCACAAGCAGGGCAGAGGGGCAGAGGGAAAAGGAGAAGCAGGCTCCCAGCTGAGCAGGGAGCCCCATGTGGTGTTCGATCCCAGGACACTGGGATCATGACCTGAGCCAAAGGCAGATGCTTAACCGACTAAGCCACCCAGGCGTCCCAACCCTATCAGATTCCCTACAGATTCAGCCAGGTTTGGCCTAAATCTTCTACAATCCTTCACAATTTGAAGATAGGGATTCTGACCACCTGTATACTCTTATCACCTCCCTATTCTAAAAATCATGTCTTTGTTGAGGCAGCCTAAGATAACATGCCACAATATGATATTGACTCGAATCGGGTCTGTGACCACTGAAAACCCCTAAATCCTTCCTAAATATGCTGCTTCTAAATCATGTCTATCCCATTCCAATTTTAGAAAGTTAGCTTGGGATCCAGCTTCAGAGTGAGGGATTTGTCTCTGTCGTGTTCCACCTTCTTCAATTCCTTTCATCTTTCCAGCCTACTGAGTCCTTTTAGAAACTGACTCTATTTATGAGGCTTCCCAGGTGCTGTCCTCAATGAATCTGATCATCAGATTATCAATGTTCCATCCAGTCAGTGGTGAACATACCAGATCGACATGGGTGAGGACAGAGCCCTGTGGTCCTCCACTAAATACCTCCATCTAATGTGACATTGATCCATGAATCAGCTCCCTTTGAGCACAGGTCAGTCTATCCACCGATTACAACAGTGCAGAATATTCATTCCAATAACCACAATATCTCTCTCTCCTTATGCAGTTTCACAGGGATTCCATAAAAGATAAGGTCAGATGCCTCTCAGAGAGACCTTGTGCCTGCAGTAACTCCCTGGTCGGCTGGCCCAGCACCTGCAGCTTGGAAGGAAATGGGCTCCACATGCAGTGACTATTCTTAGGGGCCTGGCGTTCAGGGGTCATCCTTCAATAACCTATATCTGATTCCTGCCTGGTGGCGGCCTCCAACCCACCAGCTGAAGTTGGTAGAATCCACCATCTGTCCCAGTGAAAATCCAGATGGCCCCTGCCCCCGTGCCCATATACCCTCTCTTTTCCTTCTTAGAGCCATTCCTGAAAGATTGCCCTCAGCGGACTAGCAATCTTAGCCAGGTGTTCTCCTAGTGCTGGGGATAGAACTGCTCGGGACGGGGTCTGGAGATCTGAGTGTGCTCAGAACTGCTCCCACCAGCTTCCCCTCCCCGCTGCCCTCAAGGAGCTCAGGCCAACTTCTAGGCTGGAGAGCCTCGCCCATGTCAGAGAGAAAGCATGCAGGGCAGCATGGCTCAGAACCTGGCTCCGTGGGCTCCCCTGGAGCTGAAGCACTTTCTCCCCATACCCTCAGCACACCTCTTCCAAGTGATGGGTAGGCTCTGGGGAACCAGAATGAGGGGATCCCTCCCCTCAAAGGGCTCACAGTTCAGGAGGGGGGGGTCAGATGCAAACAACAAGTTGAACTTCAGTATCTATAGAGGTGAGGACAAAAGCTGGAGCACAAATAGATAATGGCCCACTCTTCCTGAGAAGCCGGGACAGCTTCCCAGAGGAGGTGACACTTGGGCTGGGCCCTGAAGGATGAGCAGAAGCTCCCCAGGTGGAAAAGAGAGGAAATGGAATTCCAGCACAGGGGAACTCTATGGGCAAGGGCCCAAAGGAATGAGAGTACATACATGTCTGGGGACTGATGACCAAGGCCAAGGGGCTGGATGTTGGCTACAGGATGAGGCGTAGCAAGGGAGGAAGTTGCAAGATAGCATAGGGCAAAATGTGAAGGGGTCTTACACGTTGTTAAGGACTCTGCCAGGAGGCAGTACTCGAGCCCGCCTCCTGTTGTAATTATCTTCTATTTGTTCCACCCATGTGCATCAAGCTCCACCTGCTCATTCAGGCACTTTGCTGGCACTAGGAGTTGAAAGTTAAGCAGCCCTCAGTGCGGGGGCGGGGCGGGGGGGAGGGCAGACCTATGAGCCCACGGTGACAACAGCCACTAGAGGCTATTAACCAGGGCATGACACAGTCTGATGTGCTCCTGGACTGATCTCTCAGGTTGCTGATGGTGATGGTGGGGTGGGGGGTGCGGGATGGGGGAGGCAGGATGTAGAGGCAGCGGATCAGAGTGAGGGGCTTGGATTTTGCTGGTGACAGGAGGGGAGCAAGTGGATAAATGGAAGCGATGTTGAGAAGAGGGGATAGGGGACCAAACTTGGTGACAGGTAAGCTGTGGTGGGCCAGAGCAACAGGGATCTCCAAGCCCCACACATGTCCACACATGTTGGTCCCTGGTGCGGGTGACCAACAGCCAGAAGGGTCACCCATGGCCAAGCACTATGGCCAAGGCAGGTGGAGAGCAGAGCTCTCAGAGCTCCGTGTGGGGCTTAGTGAGTGTGTGGTGTTTGTGGGTCACCCCACGAGAGGCCCTGGTGGAGCTGGGTGCAGGGCTGGGCTAGGACAGAGGTGGGAAGCTGGCAGGGCTTAGGGATGGAGAGAGAGGTTAGAAGAACAGATTTGGTCTGTAAAGCTCCAAGAGCCTTCCTCTCCAGAAGAGTCTAGATGATGCTCCCAGGCACAGGTAGGGACCAGAGGCTCAGAGAAGGTCAGTGACATCCTCAGCGTCACACAGCAAGGAGTAGAGGAGCCTGGCCTAGGACCCAGGGGCTTGGGATTTAGGGGGATGAAAAGAGTTTATGTTCTCATCGTCACCATCACTGCCTGTCACTCTGTCCCCTTCCCTGCCTTCCAGTTTTTGTGGCTCCGAACACCCCCACCCCCATCACTCCAAGGCCAGTGGGGGGAGTGACTGTTGTGGGGTTGTGTTGCAGGAAAGGCCCCATCCAGGATGTCCAGACATGCCCAATCCCTTCTTCCCACCTCCCTCCACAACTCCCTCTTTCCCATCCCACTCCCTGGGAAGGAGGCCTCTCTGTTGCTTAGCAACTAGCTGGAGCCTAGGAGAAAGGAAATGGAAATAGCTGGAGGTGCCTCCCCTCTGTCAAGATAGGTCCTTGGTGCACAGGAGGGTGCTTGCACATGGTGCATGTGCAAACTCTACTCTGAGCCTAGTGTGGAGCCAGGGCCTCTTGCCTTTGGAGCCATGCTGCCTCCCACATGACTCTGAGCCTGCAGGAGGATGCGGCTGTCTGCAAAGCTAATGTCGGTGCCATTTTGGTCACATCTTCAGGAGCAGTGTTTCCAGAACAAAGGAGGGGACAGACCTGTGGGCGTCCCTCTGGATCTGGCCCACACCTGGAAGGTTGGCTTTGGAGAAGTTGGCCAGATCAACTGAAAACTGTGTGTGTGGTGGGATTGCAGTCAACTACATCTTCCCATCTTCCGCAGGGCTGCCCTGGGAACCGACTGGGAGTGGGGAGCCCATGTAGCCTGTGACCCCATAGGCCAGCAGGACAGTGTGTGTTCAGAGTGAGGTGGAGAAGTGTAACTGAGGCTGAAGGAAAAACAAAAATAAAACTGACAGATTTTACCTGGGGCACCTGGCTGGCTCAGCTGGAAGAACACGCAACTCTTAATCTCAGGGCTGTAAGTTTGAGCCCCATATTGGGTGTAGATTACTTAAATAAATTAAATAAATACATAAATACACTTAAAAAAAAAGACAACAAATTTTCCCAGAGACCCATGTGGTTCCCTGGGGAAGTTACTAGCAGGTGTGCAAGCAGGGGCCCAGGAATTGGTATAAGGGAGAGTGCGTTGCCTAGGTGGTTACTAGGTCCCTGGAGATGACTATTCCAAGCCCACGGCCCTTGGAGGCATTCTAGTCCAGCATCCACCCACTTTGCAGATGGGAAAGCCTGGTGTGACCCTGAGGTGTGACCCAAAGGTGCTAACCTGACATCAGCCCCCGCCCCCGCCCCCAAGCATGAGAGGAAGCGGATTAGAGCCATGAGTGGGCCTTTAAATCTCCAGGATTAACCCGCGCACAGGAGCTTAGCAGGTGGCCGAGAAGTGACCACCCGCCTGGTGTCTGTCTGTCTCGCAGGGCCGAGGCCAGCGGCTCCGGGGCCAGCCGCCATGTCCTCCACCGTGAACAACGGGGCGGCCGGCATGCCGTCCCCCCCGGATGCGGCGAACGGCTTCCCGCAGCCGGGCGCCTCCTCCGGGACCTGGCCACGGGCGGAGGAGGAGCTGCGCGCCGCGGAGCCGGGCCTGGTGAAGCGCGCGCACCGCGAGATCCTGGACCACGAGCGCAAGCGGCGCGTGGAGCTCAAGTGCATGGAACTGCAGGAGATGATGGAGGAGCAAGGGTGAGCGGGCCGGGGGGCGGGGCGGGGCGTGAAACCCTGCGGGCAGGCCAGGGGCCAGACTGATCCAGTCGGGGTGGGGCCCTTGCAAGGCCAGACGAACTTCATTCATTTATTCGTTTATTCGACCAATAAGCTGTCCTGAACGCCTGGTCTCCGTCGAGCTCTGAATTAGGCTCAGATTCACGGACGCCAAGGAGACACAGTCCATGTCTTCCAGAAACATCCAGTCCAGCGGGGCGGGGGGGAGGGGGGGAAGAAGCATCGAAACATCCATGGCAAGTCAAGGTCTCAGTTTGCCCTTCTCTAAAACGGCTCTATTGAGCTTCCTGGACTCTGCCAAGCAGGTGCCGCAGCCACGCCCGAGGGCACAATGGGCCCTTACTACGGGGGCGGGGAGACTGCCTGTGGTTTCAGCAGAGGAGTTCCTGCCGGCGGCCACACCTGGAAGCTTCAGTTTTACCTGTTCTGTTCAGAACCAGTCACAGGGACACGCAAGGGCGCCATGTACTGCGCTGTGCAATGTTGGGCCCCAGAGCCAGATTTGAGTCCCTTCCTCAAAGACCACCCCTCACCCCCCTACTCCCTCCCCATCTCAGAAGAGAAACAAGCATGTTTATAACCAACTCCACCATAAAACAAATTAGAATCATGGTTATGGGCCAGGACAGGAGAGGGCCAAGTGCTTCAGGAGCTCAGAGGAGAGATTCTGAGAAAAGATGTTTGAATGGGCCTTGAAGGATGAGTAGGAGTTCATCAGGGCTTGTGCATTGATCAGTCAGTAAGGATCTTTTTAGGGACTTCCCTCAAAAGTCCAGTGGAGACAGGACAGGCCTAGCACATGGAGCTGGAGGCAAAGAAACAGAACAAAGCTATTCCCATGGTGCAGCTCCAAGAAAGCTGGTGGTCCCAATGTTCCATTTTGCATCTGCCCTGAGTATTTTGAAACTAGTGGGCTGGCTGCTGAGGGAGTCAAAGTGGGAAACAGGGCTCACCCATCAGACTTGTACTGTCAGTGAGCTGAGAAATCAGAAATGCCCAGTGCATTGGGTCCCAAAGCCATATGGGGGCAGATAGCCTGTGTCCAAAAGTGCTTCCAAACCACACCTTTGTCCACCTAGGCCTCCTGGGCTCCCCAAGAGGCAGCCAAGACATGGCTCATCATCACTGTAGAGCCCAGGAAGACACTGAGGCTCAGAGATAGTCATTGACTGCAGGCAGAACCAAGGCTGGGCCTGGATCCAGGGTCCTCAGGGGGCAGCCAGGCAGGGTCCCTGGGGCACAGAGACTTGGTCCAGTTGGGGGTGGGGAGGGTCCCTGCAGAGAGCAATAAAAGGATGGAAGGCAGCTGAAAGGAGGCTTCCAGCTGGCAATGAAACCAGGTTTGATGAGCCATGGATGTGGACAGAGGAAATGAGATCCCTTAGGGACAGGGTCGAGTAAGGGGTGGGAAGAGGAGAGCCCGAGGACCTTATCAACCTACAAATCCTGCTAAGTTGGGAGACTCAGGCCTTGAAGGGATTGTGGGCAGGTGGGCAAGGTTAGGGAACAGGAGGGGTGCCTGGGCCAGAAGAGGGCCAGCCTTCTGTTCTGTATTCTTGGAAACTGCCTCCTTCCCCACCCCCCGGAGCCCCACCTCCTTCCTGAGCCCCCTCTCTCCCCCTTGCAGAGCCCCATTCTATCAGGGAACTCCTAAGGCCCCTTCTCATGGCGCCCCTCCCCTCCAAGCCTCCTCACCCTGGCTGAATCTCCTCCTCCAGGAGCCCCCAGCCCCTCACTGCACACCAGAGGGTCATTATCAGATGAGGGCAGCCTTAGGCAGAAGGGGTTGGTGTTTGGCCATGTCTTTGATGTCAGTCCCCTGGCATCAAGGACCCATGCCTCTCTGGGAGGCACCCACCAGGTCTCCAGTGAGTGCCCTTTCCCCCACCCAAGCCCTCACTCCAGGTGGTCCTTAGACTGGAGTCTCCTGGAAAGCTAGCTCTCAAGTCACCAGCCCCCCACTGCCACCCCTTAGCAGCAGTCTGGTCAGTGGAGGGCACAGCCCAGACGTGAGCAAGCCACGGCTACTTGGCCTGTGAAATAGGGAGTCGTTCTGAGAGTCCCATGGGCTAAAGATATTCGGGGCTTCCCCACCTCCAGCCAGTCCCCATAAAGTGCTCCACGAACACTGGGCACCCTTGCTCTGTTATAGAATCTAGTCATTAATATCTGTTTCTACAAACACTGGTTCATTCGAGCTTATTTACCAGGTTCTCAGGCATTTGACAAATATTCCCACTAGTCACAGGAACACACATTCTTTGGCTCCATTAAAAAGCAATCCCTTCCCTAATATTGATGGATGGCTGGTTAATTCACTGGTGATTGATGCTGCTTTGGAGTCACCTTCCCCGGCAGCCTCTGCGGGCAGCCTGCAATCACTGGAGGGCCAGGACCAGAGCCCCCCGCCGTGTGGTATGCTGCTCCCACCCCAGCCCCGACTCCCTCCCACACACACCCACCTATGCTCCTTCCTGTGAGGACTCCCAAGGTGCACAGAGCTTGGAGCTTGGAGGCCTCCCTTCTCCCTGTTCTGTTTCCTCATCCATCAGATGGGAAGAGGAAGGCTGCCCACCACCGCAGAGCTGCAGGGAAGAACAAATTAGTGACCAAGGAAGCGATTATTTAGGAACCTCCAGGTCTGGGCAGAAACAGGCAGAATGACACAATTTCTAATCTGGGGACCTCTTTGAAAATGCAGTGTCTCCTTACTGCACCCCAACCTCAGAGGGCCATCCAGGGAGCAACAACGAATTTGGCCTGTCCTTTCCTTGTGACCCCTTCCTGGTGGGGACACTGAGACAGGTGTCACTGCCCTCCCTGTCCCCAGTTCCCTGGCCAAGCCTTTGACTTTTAGCCTGAGATTTTGGCACGGCAGCTGGACCCCCTGCATGGTCTTAAGCTGGCAAGTGCTGCCACCCCCACAAGGAGTGGATGGTTTGGTACCAGCCTCCCTATCTCGGCCCTTGCCTCCAGGCCCTTGCCTCCAGGGAGAAGAGTCCCAGGTGATTCCCAACCCGGGACGATGCTGACCTGGCAGGGGTGTGGTGTGGAAAAAGGCAGGGAGCCTAGGACTACTAGATCCTCTGTCCCTCCTGCTCTGCGACAAATAGTCCTTTTTTTTTTTTTTTAAGATTTTGTTTGTTTATTTGAGAGAGAGAGCACGAACCGCGCTGAGGAGCCAAGAGAGAGGGAGAAGCAGGCTCCCCGCTGAGCAGGGAGCCCGACTCGGTGCTCGATCCCAAGGACGCAGGATCATGACCCGAGCCTAAGGCAGAGACCCAACCAAGTGAGCTACCCAGGGCCCCCAAATAGTCCTTACTATTTATTGAGCAGCTACTATGTGCCACCCACTGCACAAAGTGCTTTGTAAGCATCATTTCCCTTAATCCTTGCGACAGCCTTGAAAGACAAGTTACTACCCCATTTCACAGATGTAGAGGCTGAGGCTGAGAAGTGTATGGACTTGTCCAAGGTCACAGAGCTAGGAAGTGGGGGGTGCCAGGACTCAAAAATAGGACTGCCTGGTTCTCGGCCTCTTCCCTTACTCATGGTCCAACATGGCCTTGGCTGAGGGTTGACCTCAAGAGGCATGAGGGAGCAGGAGACTTGGAGGTAGTGGTTGTACTCAAGACCTCTTTGCCCATCCTCGGGTCCCCAGCTTCTCCCAGCAAGATGTCCCGGGGCATAGAGGGGTCCTCCCCAAGTCTCCACGTCCATTCAGTCCAGCCCTCCCGGCCTCCCAACGACACATGCTGGAGTCCTGGAGCCTGCCGGCTCTAGGTTGAGCCCTAAGTCCCTTCCCTGCACATGTCCTGCTCCAGGTCTCAATGAAACCCTGACTTCTGCTCCTACCGCCCAGCCTCATATGCTCCACAGACCCCAGGAGTCCGGGGAATGTGGACCCTGGCCTGAAGCCCATCCCTCAACTGAGGATCTGGCCCAGCCTCGCTTTTGGACCATCTCCTCCCCAACCCCTCCAGGCCCAGGGCCCCATGCCTAATGGCCCAGCCAGCCTATCTCTCCCTCCCAGAGCCCTGTGAGCCGGGGGCTGGGCAGTGTGGAAGGGCCTCTGCTATTTGTCTCTATGCTGCTGCCAATGACAAGCCTGTCTCCCGAGGAGAAGGTGAGGTGGGAGGAGTTCCTCTGTGCCTCCACCGCTCAGAAAATGCGACCACTCCTTCTTCCTGGGCACCAGGACAGCCCAGCCGACCAAGGGCTCTGCACTGCCCAACAAGAAAGGCCAAGGCACCTCCAGCCAAATGCCCAAGTCTGAGGCTAGCAGGAACTGGGGTGGACATTGATGAGCCAAGACCCAGGCTTGGAAGAGAGGGGCCCCTGCTCTTGCAGGCATGACTTAATCCTCCCTACGGTGGGCCACAACACAGGTACCTGGACCTGCAGAAGGACAGAGCACAGCTGGGGGTCAGGGGATGCATGCTAAGAAGCAGCTAGTGCTCCTCATGTAGCCCCTGACATCCTCAGTCGGTCTCCAGGCCCCAGTCATCCTGCGTCCTTGATGGATTGTTGTCCGCTTCTTCGCCTGTATCCTCATGGCCACTCTCTCGCTCCGACTTCACCATCTCCTGCACAAACCCCTACAGTAGCCCAGGGCCAGCCTCCCTGCCTCCAGATCCCTCCCCTCCAGCCGTGCAGCTACCAGAGACAGATGTCCAAAATGAAAATCCAGCCTGCAAACAGTTCGATGCCTCTCCATCACCAGCCACTCGTTTGTCAAAAAAAATGTGGATGCCACATGTCAGACAAGGTGCCAGATGCTGGGGATACAGTGGCAATCCAGACAGATAAGGCCCTGCCCTCAGGGAACTCCCAGGCCAGTGTAGGAGACAGAGGAGTCAGTCAACAGGTAGACTAGCACAAGAGCCACCTGGAGGTACAGGTTGCTATGGAAACACAAATGTGGGCACCTAACCTGGGGCGGGGGGTATCCGTCCTGCTGTAAACATCCCATGAGTCACGTCTTTGTGCTTAGCCATGATTATTTCCACAGGGTAAACCTGCAAGTTAATTTTATGAGTCAAAAGATGTGCCCATTTTTTAAGGGTTTTGCAAGGACTTGCCAAATTGCTCTCCAAAAAGGCTGGGCCAATCCCAAATGCCTGTTGGAGAAGTTGGGGGTGGGGGAGAAGGGAGGAGAAGAGGAGGGAGGACAGCCATGGGGTCCCTGAGGGGCAACGACGTGCCATTTTCATGGACATGCTCCGTGCGGAGGCCTGGGTCTGCTGTGTGGACAGAGCAGCTGGTGAGCAGAGGACAGACACAAGACAGAACCCAGTTCCTGTTTTGCCACCACCATGTTTTCCATCTGGGACAATGACCTGCAGCCCAGGAAGGGGAGAGTGAGGGGTTTAGGACCCCGAGACTCATTCAGTAACAGGCAGGTGCTGTGTGCCAGGCACAGGGCAAGGGGCTGGGTGAGCAAAGATTCCCCCCCACCCCTGCCCTAGGGCAGCGTGGACACAGGCTGGAGGGGGACATGCCAGAGGAGCTGAGAGACCCTGCAGCGGCTGTCATGGGGGCGCAGTGAGAGAGGATCATGATGGACCCCAGGGCGTGGGAGCAAGGACGATCATTCTGGACTTTGGTCCCTAACCTGAGCCTGGGCTTAGGGAGGGAGGGAGAAGGGAATAGAGAAGTCAGGGGATTCATTCAAGACCAGACCTCATCCACCTCCCCTGCCAGACTGGGAAACATTGAATCTAGCACTGGGATCTGGGACAAGCCACTTGGCAGCCTTGCTCATGCAGAGGTTGGGATGCTCTGAGGACTTCCCAAGGCTGTTGTGAGGATCAGATGTCTTTGAAGCCAGGAAAGCAGAAAAGGCCTGGATCTTCATTTCTCCCTTAATATGTCTCCAGAGAGTGACTGTAGTCTGGATGTGGGCGGGCAGTCTGCCCTGGGAGTAGAGGAGGACCGGGAGGAAGGGCACAGCCTCCGCTGGACAGTCTCCCCACCTCTAAGAACAACAATTCCTTTAGTTCATTTGGTTGTTTGGCTAGTTGTTGCTTGTTTGTTTAGTTGGTGGTTTGCCTGGTTCGGTGCCAAACGGGTAGGTCTTGAGCTTCCCCAGCGCTGAAAGCCTTGCTTGGTGGTGGGACCTCAGACGGGTCATTGCAAGTTGGAAGGTGCACCTGTGATGGGGGGAGGGGTGGTGTGGGGGGAGCAGGCAGGGAGGGAAGGAAAGCCAAGACAGCAGCCCTCACCTTCCCCATGCCCCTACAGGTACTCAGAGGAGGAGACCCGGCAGAAGGTCAGGACTTTCCGGCAGATGCTGATGGAGAAGGAGGGAATGCTCACCAGGGAGGACCGGCCTGGGGGCCACATGTGAGTGCTCCCCTGCCTGGGGGTGGGGCAGGGGAGAATGTGAGCTCAGGCAGCAGCTGGGTGCCAGAAGGGCCTTTCTAGAGGGGGCTGGGGGGCGGCAAGGTGGAGGAGAGGGCATGCATCCCATCCACTGGAAGCTCTGGCTGGCCCTGGGCACAAATCAGGGGCCACTGGGCCCCCCAGCATCCCCCAGGGCTCCCCTGCTATGGCTCAGCAGTGGGGAGGCAGCCCAGAGCCCAACTTGGGGAATCCTAGGCTGCAAATCTATGAAACTTAGAAATGTTCTGACCTCAGGCATGGCCACTGGCTGACAGTGTGGCCCCGGGCCAGTCCGTCCTCCCCAACTATTACCACCTGTAAAATGGGCGGGCCCCAGAGTAAACATGGGTTCTGGAAAGTAGGAACCAACACACCAAATGCCATTGCTCGCATGGTCAAAGTCTTGTCGGGTAACAAGAACAAGGGCTCTGCGGGGGTCACCTCTTGCTCCTGTCATGGGCCAGAAGGAGTACCAGTGTGCCGTGGGCCCCTGGGCATCAAACAGGGAAGTGATGGGGCATCAGATTTGTCTCACGTTAGAGACCTGGGAATCACTCAAAGCCGGAGGAGAATGCAGCAGGCTGCTGTGAGGATGGTGGAGGCAACCTGTCCCTGCCAGTGTCCAGGCCCAGGGGTAGGGGTCGGGGGAGGGCTGACCGAGCCCCATGCCCTGCAGGCAGTGCGCACGAAGGAGCATCATGGAATCCACTCAATGGACCTTCCCCTTGCTCAGCCTCGGAGCCCCCACCCAGTCCTGGCTCTAAGTGGGACCGAGGCCGGGTGAGCAGCCAGGGTAAATGCTCCTGGCATTTCCTCCACGGTGGGACTAACTTGGGGAGCAGGCATCTTGCTGAGGCCCTAAACCCCTGTCACCTTATCTCACACAAATCAAAAGGACAGCAACACCTTCTGAGAGATTTTCCCATTGCTGTTGTCGTAAGGACAAATGGCCCTTCGGGAGTAGACGGACCTGGATGGGCAGCGGGGAAGCCCTTTCTTACTCCTTCTGGACCACTGAGGGCTCCAGGGGTGGGGGAGTCCTGCCTGACCTCACCTAAACCTCACCTCTCTGGTTCGGGGTTGGGTAGGAGCAAACATGGTCAGAGCAGCCCCAGGCTCGTGGGGGGCTCATGGGTGATCTGGGGGAGCCAGGCTCAGAGGTGATGAGGTGATGCTACCACCACCTCCCTCTCTCCAGCCACCCAGAACTCACAGCACCCCCAGCCACTCCTGCGCCCTCCCTTCGGTGGTGCCCATCCAGCCCTACTCACCCAAGAGCAGGGCCAACGCCTCTCTCCCCTTCCCAGAGCTCCTGACAACCAGATCCTCCCCCAAACCAAGAGGTCCTGGCTGTCTGACCTGTGCCCCCTCAAATCACCCCAGGGCTTTTCTGGAAAGTCACGCTCTTCCACACAGTGTGAGGGCAAGAGTCCTGTGTGGACTCTCCGGCCATCTTCCCTGGCCCTTCCAGCAAGAAGCCTGCCCTTCTTCCCTCTTCCGGGCTCCTTCCTTTTAATGGAATTCCCATCCTTCCTCAACTCCGCTTCCTCCTCTGGTCACCACCCTACGTTTTTCTCTCCTTTCTCAACCGAATTTCCGTGGAGTGTGTGGCACACTTGACCTCTACTTCCCTAGGCCACGGGAGCCATGGTGGGTTTCTGCCCTAACTCCCGTGACCTGCTCGCCCTGTGGCCTCCAGAGTCCTACTCCTCGTGGCGCTGTGCCTCTCTGCAAGCCTGGCCTCTCTCTCTGGCAGGTGCTTCCCCATCTGGAAGCCTCCTCTTCCCCTGGCTTCCAGGGTGCGGTTCTGTGTCGCCCCTGCCCCTCCGGTGGCTCTCTCTGTCTCTCCTGCTCCTGCCCTCCTCCCAAATGTGGGACCCTTCCCTCCACTCCCTGGGGGGAATCTCATCTGTGAGCCAGCTGGGACCGCCTCCTCTGAGCGAGTGACTCTCCAGTCTTCTTCAGTCGTCTTGATCTTATCTTCCCTCGGATGAAGGAATGATGCATTTAAGAACCGGGGACGCGCTGGGAAATCTGCCACTGTGTCCATCATCAGAAGACATGTCCTTGAGGGTCTGTGCTGCACGCCTCCCCCTGTGCTGGTGCTAGGAGTGGGAAGGAGAAGCGGGGAAGGTTGGGGTCCCCGCCCTCTGCAACCTGAAGCCAGGAATTACCAGCAACTCCTGACCAGAAGAGACAACAGGGTAGCCCCTTGAACCCCTTAGCCCTCGGCCCTGTGTGTGTTCAGTGGAGGGCGGGTGTGGTCAGACAGGAAGGGTCCCTTGGAAGGGGCAGTGTCTGGAAGACTCGGGGGTCAGGGAGGACTCCTGCTCTAGAGGCAGAGGAGAATATAGCCTCGACCGCGGGTCCTGGGATCCCACTCTCATGTTGGAAGACATCGAAGACACGATCTTTATTGGTTTTGTTTACTGCTATCTCCCTGGTGCCTAGAACAGTGCAGCTTGCCCGATTTTCCCCGAAGTCTGTCTCCTCCTCTGTATGGGAAAAGGGACAGGGTCAGGGGCTTCTCCTAGCTCAGGCAGCCCAAACGGTGTGAAAATAGCACTCCGGTGACCACAGCAAGCCAAGGAGGCTGATGGCCGCCTGGAATCCTCACAGGCTGGGAGGAGCTAGCTGTTTTGGTGCTGAACCCAAGGCCCAAGGCAGAGAGGTGACAGGGAGCTGGTGACAGATTGGCCCGCCTTCCTGCGGACTGGGCATCTGAGCCTGTCTTCACTTCCTAGCTCAGAGTCTGGGGTAGTGGAAGGAAAGTGTGGGCTCTGGCGTCAGACACCTCACCTGCCCCAACCTCTAAGCTCAGTGTGCACCGCCTGGGCCCTGGATCCCAGCTCCGCCACACCCCAGCTGTGTGACGTGGGCAGGTCCTTGACTTCTCTGGGCCTTCGCTTCTTTATTTGTACAGTGGACCACCCAGCAGTCCCTGTGCTTATGCATCTGGCTTCCTGCCCCTGAGACCCCAGCCCCTCATACACTGGCATTTTGAGACATGGAGAAATCCGATGCCCTCTTAGAGTGAGGTGGCAAAGCCAGAGCCAGTAGAAGGGTCCCCACAAGGGGAGGAAGTGAGGAGGGACATCTGATTTTAACCCGCTACGGACTGTAAGAGCCCATGGCACCTCCCACTCAAGAAAAGAGTCTCGAGGGGGCAGGGTCATTCCCAGAGCTTTTTGTCCCCAGAGATCATCTTTTTTCCTTAAGTTAATTGACTGGTCTGGAGTGACAGCCTCTTGAGACAGACCCCCTTCGGTCTACTCTCCACACTGGATACAGGACATCTATTCCGTAGATGATGGGAGCCAGTGGAAGGTTTCCGGGAGGCATGATGTGGTCAGACAGGTGTTTGGGGACTTCCCTCTTGGGAAGAGGAATAAGAAGGGTGACACGGCAGGGAGATTAGTGGGGCAGCTGGCACTCTAATTGGGAAGCGAGGCGAGAGAGAGAACGTCCCAGAGACATTGAGAGAGGACACGCCTTTGTCCTTGGAAACTGATTGATGTGGGGAGCCTGTTTCTCCTTGGAAACCCTCTGTGGCTCCCCAGCTCCCATGCAGCCAAGCTGCACTCGCTGGCCTGGCGCTGGGAGGCTCTCCCCACCCTCAGCCCAGCCTGGTGCCCCACTCCCAGCCTCACGCAGCAGCCAGCCCGACCTGCTGGCAGACCCCAGCTCCGTCCTGCACGCTCTCCCTTCATGCCTTTGCTCATGCTAGGCCCTTCTGCACCTGGTTCAAGTTCGCCCCATCGTTCAGGGCTGCCTCTAAAAACCACTTTCCCAATATTCTCGGGATAAAAGCGAAACCTTCTCCTCCTTGGAATCCACACGATGCTTTCTTACTTCTTGTGGTTGCTATCAGTTCTTTTTTATTTTTTCGTCCCTCACTCTGATAGACAACCTTTAAGAAATAATTGCTTTCATAGTTATGTAACATCACAAAATGCTTGGGAGAGAGAGGGTTTATGGAAAACAATATTCATAAGCTACTCCCTCACACAGTGAGCAAATTCTAGTGTTGTTTTTTTCTGTGCATCTAATTTTATGCATCGAGCCACTTCTCTGGGCCTCATTATTTTATCTATAAGATGAGAATATTAGTGATGGTACCCATGTCACTGACTTGTTCTGTGCATTAAATGACTAAATGAGATAAACACACATCAAGTGCTTTAAAAAAAGGATTCCTGCTTAGAATAGTACCTGACACCCGCGTTAGTAATTATCACAATACGCCCCAGGGCACTGTGAGGAGCCAGAGGAGAGGCCCCAGGCCTGACTCATCCCTGTTCCTGTCACCGTGGGGGCCCCCTCCCCCACTTCCCCCCTGCCCAGGCCCCAGGCAGGCCTGGCGCTGGCTGCGTGAATGAGCAGAGAGGGCAGACCCTTTGCCTGGAATCCTCCCCTCCTCTGCCTGGCCTCATTCATCTGTCAGTTGGCCATTATGCTCCCGGCTAGTGGCAAACAGAGCCAGTTCATTAGAGAAACTGGCATGAGAAGAGCATGTGAGCGGCAGTCTTTACCCAGGTCAGAGCCTTGCCCAGGGCAGCCAGTCCCAACAGGTGTCCTGTGCGGTGCGGAACCTCCATCCGTGCTCCGTCCCTCTGCAGTAGACCCCGAGTGCGTGGCTGGCTCTGGCCAGCTCTGTGGGGCTTGGACTGTTCCGTCACAGGGGAGTAACGCCTCCCCTGCCTAGTCCACAGACATGGGGAGGTGTCGACTAGCTGACAAACACGAATTTAAGAGCAGGAAGTGCTGAACAAATCTGGAACTTGGTGCATATACCTACAAATGTGTCTATAAAGCAGAGAGGCCAGGGCTGAGCTAACATCTGCAGCGGAGGCCAGCCGGGAAAGTAAAGGCCTGTCTGTTTGACCATGAATTCTCAAAGCCAACTGCCTAAGTGAACTTACATTCTCTACTCAAAGGGGATGTTCCTTTCATTCTCTGGGCCTCAGTTTATTCATCTGTAAATGGGGGGTGCGATTTCTCTCAATCAGGTAGTGGTTCGGATTGGGATTTGTGAACCATGAGGAGCTCATGGAAACGTTAGAGAACATTATTGTTAGTGATATTATCATCTAGGAAAGGCAGGCTAGGAGAACCCAGGTTTCTAGGCTGGGAGATCCTACAAAACAGATATCCTGATACCAGCTGTACAAACTCAGCAAGAGAGGCCGCAGCCTAGGCCCATTTATAGCCCTGGAACATGCAAGGCAAGTCTTACCAGAAAGTTCTGAGAACTTGTGCCTCTCCCTGAGCCTACTACTCATGCTCTATGCTTGTCTTTCAATACTCCTAGCAGACAAGATCCCAAGTAAACCTCTCAGAAGGGACCAGAGAGTGAGAAAGGCCACATGAGAGGACCCCCGGGAGGGAGGTTGCAGAAGCTCTATCCCTGGGCCAGAGGAAGAAAGATGTCTGTAGGGGTGTGGCCAGCAGACCAGGAGGGCACAGCACGGGAAGGAGTTCAGATGTTACAGGCAAAAAAGGATTCCTGCAGAGGGCAGTGCCCAAACTGAGCTATTCTATTTTGTAAATAACCTTCATCACATTTGTGTCAAGATAAACAGAGGCTCCCTCCAGCCATCAGCTCACCCACACAATGTTTGAGGGGCCCTTAAGTTTTGCTAAAGACTGTGTTTTATGTGTCCGGCATTTGTGTGGCTGAGGGCTGTGTGGGGGTGACAGGGCTGGGGATGGTGGGGGGCTGGACAGGCCGAGGAGCTGGAGATTTCAGAAACAGGAAGGAGGAGGCTGCTGGCTTCAGGAAGAGGAATGTGGGGAAGAGAGGTTTGAATGGAGGGCTGTGGGGATGTTTGGTTCTGTGGGGATAGGAAGGATGACATGAACCCCTCCTCCACCATCCCAGAAAAATCTCCCATACTACCTGTGTGACCTCAGGGTTGCCCAGACCAGGTGTGTGTTTAGGAATCAAATGGCATTCTTGATATAGGCCCCAAGGGGTATTGCTTCCCTGTCAGATTTGGGTTACATTCTTTTTCGGGGGAGGTTTTTTGTTGTTGTTTGTTTGCTTGTTTAGCGAGAGAGAGAGCCAGGGAAGGGACAGATGGAGAAGGAGAGAGAGAGAATCTCGAGCAGGCTCCACACCCAGCACAGAGCCTGACACGGGGCTCCATCTCACCACCCTGAGATCATGACCTGAGCCGAAATCAAGAGTCAGACACTTAACCAACTGAGCCACCCAGGCGCCCCCCCATTCTTTTTTTTTAGTACAACATCAGTCCTTCGAAGAGCAGATTCGTGGGTGCTCTACTGGAGATGTGCCCCTGAAAATTCTTGTTCTTTCTTTCACGTGTCACAACCCTGGAAGAGAAGGCGTCTGTGCCTTAGTGTCTAACAGGGTTCCCTCTGTCTAACAGTGGCGACCATGTGCGGGACAACTGTCGTGGGCCAGGCCTGTTGCTCCTGTCAGGAGCTTCACAAACAGAATCTTACTTAATCCTCTCCTCAGCTGGGATATTCTTTTCCTGCTTGTGGAGATATAAGGAGCTGGAGACTCTGTGAGCACGGTCATGCCTGGCTTGAGACCTGTCTGTGTGAATCCAAAGCTCATGTCATATCCTTAATGCTCTGGGCAGGGAAAGAGTGAGCCTGGTGAAGGGCACCCAGGAGTGAGGGTAGTGGTGCCGAACCAGGGATGAGGCTCCATCTGGGAGGGGCACTGTCGGAACCTGCATGAACCGAAGAATGGAAGGTGGGGAGGCCCCCGCCTTGAAGCCATTGCCCTGGAGCTTGGTCTTTGGAGGCTCACTTCTGGGCTTGTTCAATTAAAAAAGGAGCTGCACAGTACGGTTACCTCAGCGAATTCTCCCAGGAGCCCCATAACGTAGTCATCACACTCATCTTGGAGAAGAGGCTCAGGCAGGGGGCACGACAGGTACCAAGTCACACGGGGACTCAGGGCCAGCGCGAGATGAGGGCTCCTCTGTCGCTTGGAAGCTCATGCTCTTGCCCGAAGCCCAGCTGCCTTTAGGAGGCAAGCCTCCCTCCACCAAGTGCCCGCAGGGAGCAAACATCTGTGGCAGAAGATGGCTGGGGGCTCCCGAGCTGGCCGCGGCGCCCCGGCTGAGTGCAGCGGAGGGCTCGGCAAGATGGATGGGGAGCCTCGGCGGCTGCGCAGGGCTGGGGCCCACGGCGCTGCCACCGGGCAGTGATTGATGACAGCCCGGCAGCGGGAGAAGAGCAGCCAGGCCTCGGGAGGACAGGCCATGAATATTTCAGAGCGGCAGCCGGGGCTGGGGGACGGGGTGTTGGGGGTGGAGGGAGGGAGAAGCCTGGCGGGGGCAGGGGGGAGGGGACTAGGCCAGCGAGCCCGAGTTAGGAAAAGACTGACACCAGAGAGGGGGAGCTAGGAGATGGGAAGGGGCTCTCTGGGAGCTCACGAGGGAAGGGGGACTGCGGAGGAGGAGTGGGCTGAGCGAGGGGCAGGGGGCTAGGGGTGGGACGGACAGTGGGGCTCAGGGACAGGGTCGGTGAAAGGGGCTCTATGAGGGAAAGCGGGGCGGGAGAGAGGAGAGGAACACCGTGAATGGAACCGAGGGCCTCGGTGAGGGGAGGGCCTCACCAAGGAGGAGGCAGCTCACTGAGAGGTGAGACCGTAGAAGGGGTGAGGACCAAGGGAGGCGGGAGGGCACCGCTGAAGCTGGGGGGGGGGGGCTGCCCTGGAGGCAGCCCATCAGGTCACCCAGATCCCCGCCTGACCCTCGGGGCCGCACCCCGCTGACCTTGCGGGGAACCAGGCCTCGGGGCGCTGCGCGGAGAAAGGGGCAGGCGGAAGGCGCGGCCCCGGGGCGCGGGTGGTGAGCGTCCCTGTCGCCGGCAGCGTGGCGGAGACCCCGCGGCTGCTCGAGGGCGCGGAGCCGGGCCTGGAGTACGCGCCCTTGGACGAGGACGACGGCCCGGTGGACTGCGACTGCCCGGCCGCCTGCTACCGCGGGCACCGGGGGTACAGGTCAGCGCCCGCCGCGGCAGGGGGCGGGGGGGGGCCACGGCCGCCCCTCCTCCTTCACCCCTCCTCCCCTTCTCCCCCAGGACCAAGCACTGGTCCAGCAGCTCAGCGTCGCCCCCTCCCAAGAAGAAGAAGAAAAAGAAAGGCGGCCACCGGAGAAGCCGGTGAGAGCGCCTCACCGCCAGTCCGGAGTGGGCGGGAGGGGCGGGAGGGGCGGCGATCCCTGGGTGCCCACCCCTCTGCGGGCAAGAGACCAGAGGCTGCATTTGGGAGCCCCGCCCCTCGCTGAGCCCCCCCCCCCTCCACTGGCCCCTCACTGGCCGGGCCCCTCCACTCACTGAGTCCCCTCATTGGCACTCACCCAACCCCAGAACTGGACATACTGACCCCTGGGTGACAGTCCATCTGCTGGAGGTCCCCCTTCCTCCCTCCCCAGCAGCCCTCCAGTCACTCACTACACCAAGTGTGAGTGGCCTGGGGAGGAAGGATTTAGCTGGGTCACCTCTGTGGTTCCCCATCTGTATGTCCCCCCCCCCCCCGGCCTTAATGAGAACCTGGCAAACGTCTGGAGCCCCAACTGTCTGTCTGTCCTTTTCTCTCCCTGGCCCCTCAGCAAAAAGAGGAGACTGGACTCCGAGTGCAGGTCAGTGATAAAGGCAGGCCGGGGTGGGGATGTCTGGGTGGGCAAGACTCCAAGGCCATCCCTCAGAGGCAGGCGGCCAGCCACACCAGAGTCTGGACCCTGGAAACTGCCAGAGTGCTGGTTTTCCCCACGGAGGCCAGGAATGCCACCACTGGAGCCTCTGACATTTGGGTGTGAATCAGCCCTCACTTATGATGCCAAGGAGCCTGAAGGGTGGCTAGGAGACAACACGGGCGGCTCCGTCACCCACTCTTAGGGACCTTGCTGACTCTCGGGGCCCCGGTTCACTTTGTGCAACGGGCAGCTGGCTTCAGCTAGATGCCCCAGGCGCCCAGACTTCCCAGCCATGTCCAGCTGCCCCTGCCCCGCCCCTCTCGGGCAGCGGTTCACCAGAGCCCCCACCCCCCTGTGTCCGCAGCTGTGGGAGCTCCTCACCGCAGCGCAAGAAGAAGAAGAGTGTGAAGAAGCACCGCAGAGACAGGTACCTTCTCTCCCCTGGGGTGTCCTCTCACCTCTGTTGGCCCAGGACTGTGGCTGTGCAGATTTGTGTCCCCAGGCCAACCCAGACAAACTCAAGAGAACTCTTTTGTGGCCCTCCAGGTCTGATTCTGGGTCCCGGAGGAAGAGACGACACAGGTGAGTGATGCCCTGCTGAGGATGTGGACAGAGGCTAGTGCCACCCTGCAGGGCCAAGGCCCAAGGGAAGCAATGATGGGAGGAGGGTGGTGAGGGTCTTTCCCTGCTCCATCCTCCCCGCTCCTGGGACTCCTTCCCAGAGCCAAGCAGGGGAAGGAGGGCGGGAGAGGAGGATGGAGGCCAAGTGTTTGCAACACTTGCTGGTCCCATGAGTCAGCCTTGACCTGGGGACCCTAAGAATTTCCAGACAACACAACGGGTCCATTATCCAAGGGGTGTGTCCATAGAGGCGTCAGGAAGGAAGAAGCATCAGGACCCCAAATTTGCAGGGAAAGGGCATCCATACAGAAGGAAAGCTCAGTAGGTAGGAGACCGGTAGGCAGGCTGTGGTTAGCCATGGTGTCTGGGGGACAGGTGCCAGCCCCCAAAAGACCTGACTGTCAGGTCAAGGAGGTAGCCTCCAACCAGACAGGGCTGGGAGCCAGCATGGGGCTCTGAGCAGGACAGAGACTTGTTCAGGATGGACTGGGGGAGGGGGGAGGAGGAGATGAGAGTCAAGAGCCCTGGCAGAGGCTGGGGTGGGGAAAGTAGAAAACTCAGCGAGGAGGAAAGGAAGATGTAGGGCAGTCACATCCCCAGGGCTGGCATGGGAGACAGAGCCCCTCCCAGTGGCCCTGAAGAGGGTCAGGGTCCCCAGTCTCATTCCTGCAGTGGGACTTTGCCCATGGCCACTTGTCAGATGGGGTAGGAGCATAAATAAACACCTAATCCTGACCCTCCAATTTCCCCAGTTTCCCATCGCCCCTTCTTTCCCTTCCTCTCCTCCCCTCTTCTTAGGGGCCAGTGTGGGCCCCTACTGCCCCCTAGTGGTCACCATTGGTCTGCACCGATCCTCCGGCCAGCTCCCATTGGTCCTGGGAAGGACCTAAAGGTGACCTAGGGCTAGACCAGCTCCAGATGGGGAGACTGAGGCCCAAAGCAAGCAACATGAGTCCTAGAAATGAAATCTTTGGCCTCCTGGGCCTGCCCCCACCCACCCTGCTCCTGTGAAAAACACATCCTGTTGTTTCTTAGCATCACCTGGATATTTGGTCAGAAGAAGGCATCTGTTCAGGGCTAGAAGGATCAAGCTGGAATCTGGTGGCATCGGGGAGTGTGGGGCTGAGGGGCTTACAGGGACCAGGGGTGGAGTGAGACCTTAGACACCTACTAGGAAGCTTTTCAATCCCTTTGTCAAAGATAGAAGGAGAAGGACTGTGGGGCCTGCCCCAGAGAGCTGGATGGGATGGGACGGTATGGGGCAGGATTGGGTGGGATGGGAAGCTTTAGGGGCAACCCTCGATGAGAATCCAAAAGACCCAAATGTCAGGGAGATCATGCCCAAGGGAGAGTATTTCTTTCCTAAACCCTTGGGGAGCTGGCCCAGAGCTGAGCCACAGTCTGAGGGGGCAAAGAGGCAGGAAAGCCTGGGCTCTGCCCTAGAGAGCCCCATCTGAGGGGACCTGGGACCCAGGGGACACAAACAAGGTGTGGAGGGGCCACTCCAGCATGATGACTTATAGAAGGGCCTGTCCTGAGACCGATTCCAGAAGGAAAGGACAAGTCAGCCTTCTTTCTGGGGTGGTGGACACATCACTTATGGCACCCCCAGGAGAAGCAGCTACTGGGGCTCAGACAGGCAGTGGTCGTGGGCCAGGGCCTACAGGAGAAGGAAGGAAGGAGGCTTGGCTGAGTGAAAGGAACCAAAGCAGTGGGGTGGGATGAGCTAGTCCGCCTGGCTGGGGGTGGGGACTCAGGTCCCACACAGGAACAAATCTCAGATCCACACCCAGGCACAGCCCTCCTCCTGCCCCCCTACTGGGCTCAGGCTGAGCTGTCACCTCAGCCTCTGCTTTCTGCAGATCTCGAAGCCCCAAGAGCAAAAGAAAAGAGAAGAACAAAGAGAGGAAGAGGTGAGAACCCTTCATCATTCTCTAGCTCCTCCCCCTCCCCCTTCTAGAATCACAGAATTGGGCCCTTGGAGATAGTTCATTTCGTCCCCGCTGCCCAGATGGAAAAATTCAGACCCAGAGAGGAAGCCAAGAACCCCTGCGAGTCAGTGACAGAGCGGGAACTGGAACCCAGGCCTCCTGCCTCCTAGTCCAGGGTTCTTTCAAGCTCGGCCCTCGTCACTCCCCCCACATCCCTCCACCCCTCCTCACAAGAGCACCAGCTGAGGGGTCAGTGAGGTCTTGGGGACCAGAGCTGTCTAGACAAAAGGACGCCTTTTCCTAATTCCCACAAATGACCCACCTGGATTAGGGAGGTTATATCTGTAGGACACTATAGGCGGTGGGGTCCCCCTTGGGGAGGTCAGGCAGAACTTAGGTCCTGGCTGGCTTCTCTCCCAGGCCACACGCGGAGTCCCCGGGTCGGAGGTCCACTCGCCACAGCAGCGGCAGCTCTCAGAGCCCCTCCCTCTCCTCCCATTACAGCGATTCCAGATCACCCAGCAGGTAGGTCCTGGGCCCCTGGGAGCACTCCAGAGGTGGTTCAGCTCGGCTTTCTTGCAGATGGAACACTCCCGAGGGCTGGAGAGGGGGCTGGGGAAGAGGACGGTGCACAGAACAGCAATGGGGGGGGAGGACGGAAGTCTACCCGGAGTGAGCATGTGCCCACCCACCTGGCAGTGGGCGAGGAAGAGCTTCGGCCCCTGCCCAGAGACGCCCCAGACCTTGAACTGGAAATCGAGGCAGTGTGCAGGTTAGGGCTTTGCTCTCTGAATGCAAGGGAGGTGGCGCGTGGGGGGCTGCTCTTCGTGCGGGGGCAGCGGTTCCACTTGCAGAGGGGGCGTCCCACGCCGGCTCCCCCCATCTTCCCTCCCCCCCCAAGGCTGAGCCCCAAGCACCGAGATGACGGGCGGAAGACGGGCAGCCAGCGGTCCAGCGGGAGCCGGTCGCCTTCCCCGTCTGGCGGCAGCGGATGGGGGTCGCCCCAGCAGAATGGCGGCAACAGACAGCGGAGCGGAGCGCACGGGGGCCGCCCCGGCTCGGCGCACAGCCCGCCAGATGTACGTACGCTTCGCTTTGCAGAGGGTTCCCGCGCCGTGCGGGCTGCGCCGCGATGGGGGCGGGGGCGGGGGGGCGTCACCGCCGGGTAGGGCGCGGTGAGTGTGCAACGGGGGATAGGCGCCGCTTCCCCCTCCCGGCTGGGGCGGGGGGGCGACCTGGAATGCTTGGTTGTTGCGCGCACCTGGCCCGAGTGTCAGGGGGAGGGGGCCTGCAGGCTTGGGCCACCCTGGAGCTTGGCAAACGGACGGCCAGAGGGGGCTTGACCACTGCGGCTCTCAGCCCGTTGGGAACAGAGCTGAGGAGAACCCAGGGTCTCCTGCCGCCCTCCCCCCAGGCATATTGGGGTGGGAGGGGCATGGACGATGCTAGGGGTCACAGTCAGGAACCGGATTCAAGAGACAGGATCTCCCCTGGGCATTACTTAGGCCCTGAGTCTCCCTCTCCCCACCAAGCCCTTTCCCCCTCTCTGAGCACCCTCCCTTCCTCAACCCCCTCACTGCCTCACTCCCCCTCCCTCAGAGCCCTCCCCTTTCTCTGTCCCCGGGCTGCCGAGCTGCCGCCACTGAGCTGCATTTCTAAAGTCCCTGCTCCAAGGAGAGTCTGTCCTTTTCCCCGGGACTGCCCACGCGTGGACAGATGTCTCAATCCTGCAGGCTCCCATGTCCCGTCCTTCCTAAAGCGCCTGCCAGTGTCCCCATTGCTCCCTCAGGGACTCCACACCAACACCACTCAAAAACTGTCCCCACCCATCCTCCAAGAGAGGCACAGAGTCCTTGAGACCCACAAGCAGGTGTGGTGATGGTAGGGGCTGGTAGAACAGACAGGCTTCTCAGCCCTTCCCAGGTGGATGGGCTGGGCTGGGGGTGGAGGGCTCTCCTGAGCCCCAGGGGAGGCCCACATCCCCTTTTGTCTGTTGACTTTGAAGTACAGGATAGAGCCCCCTCAGGGAGAGGGGGCTGCAGTACTGGCAGGGGCACGGGGTGGGCAGGCCTGCAGGTTCCCCCCCACCAGACCCAAACTGCCCCAGATGCCTCAGCAGGGAGGGTGGGGGCTGCCCCTCCCCAGACCTCAGGTCTCAGCAGCAAACATGTCCGTGTTGGTCAGTTTCATTTTGATTTTTGGCTGTTTCCTTCACTCCCTTTCTTTTCTCAAACACCCTTATTCCCAAGACCTTAGGGAGGAAAGCCAAGGGCAGCTGACAAAAGGTTCTTGGTCTCAAGATTAATTTTTATTTAAGGACATTACCTGTTTCGAGGCTGCCCCACTTGGACAGGGTGTCAGGCTCCTGAGCTCCTAGGGGCCTGGTTGGGCCACATAGGAAGGATCACACCCATGTCCCAGGATCTGCCTTGGGGGTGGGAGAGGACACACAGAGGTAGCTGGACGCAGTCAGGACGGGGAGTGGTGCCACAGGCCCCAGAGATAATGGCTCCATCTGGGAAAACCCAGGAGAGGGTGTACCCATCCCCCCACCACCAAGGGCACAGAGCGAGAACCCCAAACACCTTCTCGAGGGAGCTTCCCATCCTCCTGGAAAAGCACAGAAGGCAGCCAGGGCCAATAGGAGGCTCCATCCCACTTCTGGTACCCTCTCCTCCCTGAGCAATAGGCCACCACGGGCCCTGGGCTTGTACTGACAGAATGGCCATGGTCTACATAGACCCCAGGAGAGAGCAATCAAGGAAGGTGGCCTAGCTTCCAGCCTTGGGGAGGACACCACCTCAGCAGCACCCAAATCTTGACTCCCTCCCAGAATGGGATTCCATTTTGGCACTGCCCTGGGATTTTCCGGGGAGAGAGCACTTTGTTACCCCTTTCACAAAGCATGCTCCCCAAATCCTCTCCCTGCCCTTGGGCCCTGCGAGATCTGGGACCTCAGGACATCCAGGCCTTTCACCTGCACCTCCTGGGAGGTGAGATGGGGGTGGGAGGGGGGGTGTCGTAGACTTAGCCATTCACCAAAAATGTCTTTGGGGACAAGTACTGGGGGGTGGGGGTATTCTTGGACTCTACCTTTAAAAAAAAAAAAAGAGAGAGAACAAACGGAAAAAAAAAGAAAAGCTCACCATTTTTAACCCCGTCTATGTTTTTGCTTGTTTTTTTAGCCTCCCATTTGAACCGTGGTAATATTGTGATTCCATTTCTTGTTTAGTTGGCAAGGGAAGAGGGTGGGGAAGTTTATGTAACTTTTCCTATTATTTTGTTTTTGTTTGTATTTTCTTTCTTTTTTTGTTTCCTTTGGTAATGTACAGAAATGCAAACTATCTCTCTGTTTGTTTTTTTCCTATCTTCTATGTTGTTCTAGAATTTTGCTTTTGTGCGTGTTACTGTGGGAGCCTCTCCTCCTAATGCAGAGATGGGTTTTGAATCTCAAGCGAACATTAATCGTATACATATCTCTATATACTTATTCTTTTTTCCTTTGTAACCAGAATTTAAAAGGGAAGATAACTCTTAAAAAGTGACTCCCACACCACCAGCTCCTGCCAAATCTGCAGTGGCAGCAAATCCTCTCCTCGACCCCAGGGCATGTGCTGGAACTGCCTCAGTTTTTAAATGAACAGAAGTGGCCCAGACTGTTCTTCTGTGTCCCTATCTATAAGGAACCTTGGAGGGAAGCTGGGAGACCCAGGGAGGAAGAGATATTTGTCCCGAGTCACCCGGGGAGCATCCCAGGGCAGTGAGCACCCGGTGTCTCCCCAGTTCCATCTAGTATAAGATGGCTGGGCATGATAGGGATAGGCTGCTGAGCACCTTCTGTAGCAGGCCTCAGATCCTATAGGAGGGAGCTGTACACCCCCAAGAGAGTTTAGCTCAGGTGAGGGCTTCAAAGCCAGACACTCCCAGCAAGAGAACAAGTCCATCCTCCTCTTGAGACTAAGGCCAGCTGGGTGCCGGCTCCCAACACATCTCTGTGTTGTTCCATACCACACCAGGGAGAAACCTCTGAAGGGATTTCTGGGTTCTGCTATTTACTGCTCCCTGCAGCTCAGAGAGGTCAAGTGGACCAGCTCAAGGTCACACAGCTTTTTAGAGGTAGACCCAAAAGGAGACTCCAACCCTCTCACCTCAAGACCACCAGCCACAGCCAAGATGTGGAGAGAGTGGTCAATGGAAAGCACATTCTGGGAACCCTGAGTAAGGGGAGAAGGATTCAGGAGGTGCATGCTGGTTGTTTCAGCTCCTGCCTTCCCCTGGGGAACCCCTCCAGATGTCGATGACACACTCTCAGCTCTCAACTCCCTGGCACTGGGGCCTGCCCACACAAAGACCAGAGTATAGGTGGGCCCAGCATTCAGCAAGCCCAACTCTCTATGAGGGCTGCTTCAATGACTCAGGGAACCCTTTGCCCTCCCAGTATGGGGACAGAAATAGTGAAGCAGAGAGGGAAGGGGGCACATGATTTGGGACAGAGAAGTAAGATGCTGAGCCCAAGTCCTAGAAAAGGTGTGCAGGGTTTAAGGACTTAGAAGTAGGGCCCCTGCCTTGGCTCCACCTGTCCCTGGCATTGCAAGTGTCAAAGGGAAGACTCACTATTCAGTGAGGGTGGCAGAGAAGGTTCCTGAGCAAGGCCCCTGTAGGCTCTCTCTGGCCTCCACCTTTGGCTCAAATGTCATCACAAAATGGGCAGCCTAGGGTGACCCCAAACAGAGGTGCCCATGGCACTGCCTGACCTGCCCCATCCCAGGCCTCCCCGCTACCTGCCCCCGGAAAGAGCAGTGACCACAGCTGGAGGGAGGCAGTCAGAATAGGAAGGGGCATCTTGGCCTTACTTCCAGGATGAAGCCAGAAGGTAGGAGGGATGAGTTTTCCTAAAATGATGCAGAAGCCCTGGGAAAGTGGCAGGCCTGAGGCAGGATCCGACCTCCAACCAAATCTGTGGTTGCCTTCCCTTTTAAATGCACCCATCCCTTCACCCCATCCATCCACTCTGCGTTGTTGAAACAGCTTTTCTCTCCTTTTTCAGTCTGGGCCCACCTCTCTCTATTCCCTGCCTGTCTATCTGTTTCCTTCTGCCTTTGTTTCTCTCTCGCGCTGGCTCTCTTTGTGTCTCTCTGTCTCTTTCTCTCCATCTCTCTCCCCAACATGGGCCTCTGTCCCCATGCTGCCAGCCCCTCTCCTTAGCCCATCCTCTGGTTCTGCTTCCATCAGCTGCTTCCTGCATGTCCTCTGGAGGTTTTCTGTTGTTTAAAGAGTTAAGGAAAGCTTGGCTTATTGGAGCCTGTGGGTTTAAAAAAAAAAGAAAGAAAGAAAGAAAAAAAAAAAGAGGCAAACAGAACGGGCTGGGCAGGAGCCCCCTCCCATCCCTGGGACTAGACCAAAAGCCACACGGGCTGCACAGTTCTGGTTCCCGAGGGGGAGCGCAGCTTAGAGTCACTGTCTTCCCCCCCCCCTTCTGCATTCCCAATGCGGAGACCTTCTTTTCTTTTTTATTATTGCATTCCTGTCCCTGACCACTGAGAAGGTAGGTATCCCGGCTCAGCTGTGCGCCCGCTCGCTCCCCATCTCCAGATAAGCCCCGCCACTCTGCTTGGTTTGAATGTGGTTTTCTCTCTCTTTCTCTCGATCTCACTCTGGTTGGTTTTCTCCCCCTCTCCCTTTTCTTTCTTTATTTTAGTGACTACTCATTTGTAACCTTGCATTTTTCTCCAAATGAGCTACAAAGCTGTGTTTCCTGGTTTGTCATTTGGTTTTCTTGACTCCCTCCCACCCC